GTTGTTCCTGTCAGGTCTTTTGGTCACAGCAATGTTAAGGTTGACGAGGAAGCCACTATGTGTGTGACTTTGGGCAAGTTATTAAGTTTCTCTCAAATCTTCAATTTTATCACCTATAAAATGTAGACATCTCACCTGAATGTTGCTAAATCAGATGACAAAAAAGAGATATGTTTATGGCATAGCATGATGCCTGGTAAACAGACCCCAATAAATATTAAATGTTTCAATAAAATACATAATGATAAGATTTTAGGATATTAGTTTGTTTCCCAAGAAGTTAGTGTTACGGAGAGCAAATTGGAAAGGTCTGAATGGAATCAAAGAGTAGAAAATTAAACCTAGAGAGAAAAAATACAGTATTGTGAAGATGAAAGTATTATGGAGATAAGATTACTGGAATAACTGAATTCTTAGACCATGACTAAAGTTATAGTGGCTTCACCTCCTTAGGTGAAGCAGGCTATAAAGTTTCAACAAAGAAAACTTTTAGGAGTCCCCTGGTTACTTTACACACTGCAGTTTTAGGGGCTGGTATGAGAGATCTGAAGTTTTATAGTCTGAATTCAACAAATAGGTAGGTGAGGCAAGAGACCCACAGGAAGTAAGATAAACTTTTGAACTAGTCCTAAATAGGCATTTTCTACTTTAGAAGGACCAGTCAGGTCATTATTATATAAGCGTAGTCTGCTGATGCTCTCTCTTATGCATTTGTTAACATTATTTTTTATAAGAGTAAATTCTTCCTTTATCACTATTTCTATCTATACTTTGATTAAATTTAAACCTATTCCACACCTCTTACATTTGCATAAACATCTACATGTTATATATGTATTGTGTGCAGTTATTCCATGTGCAACCAACATCCAGTTTAAGTTCATAAAAGGTACAATTAAGATTTTATTGCCTAATAGTGTGCAACACATTGTAGAAACTTAACTAAAGGTAAGGTGGCTTTACTAAAGAACTGCTCTGGTAGAAGGATATACTATTTCAGTTCTTTAACAAAGTTGCACAGTACTACTGCAAGATAAATTAAGAATATAAAATATTAATATAGTTTAGAGATTGGTAGGCTTTTTAAAGAAATATCAGAAAATAAATATGTTAGGATTGTGGAACAACCATACAGTCTCTCTTGCAACTGCTTAATCTTGCCCTTAAAGCATGAAAGCAGACATAGAAACGTTTGAATGAACAAGTATGCCTGTATTCCAACAGATTTTATTTATAGAGATAGTGGCCAGCCAGCAGTCTGTAGTTTGACAATTTCAGCATAATAAAATACTCAAAATTTATTACATAATGTAGAAAAAATATAGCTCAGCAATTTTAAAAGGGATGAAGCAAATTGATAAGAAAATGTCATATCCTATGAGAGAAAACCTGAAAGTGCTTAGTGTTTACTATCATACAAAAAAATAATAAATTAAAATTATGATTATTGTCATATTCCAGTAGTGTCCGTTGTGATAGTTCCTTTTTCATCGTGAATTTTAGTAATTTGAGTTTTCTCTTTCTCTTTGTTAGCTTGACTAAGGGTTTATAAATTTTACTGATTTTTTTTTCAAAGAACCAACTTTTTGTTTTGTCGGTTTTTTGGATTGTTTCTCTTGTTTGAATTTCATTGCTTTCAGCTCTGATTTTAATTATCTCCTGTCTTCTACTGTTTTTGGTGTTGTTTTCTTCTTCTTTTTTCAAGGGGTTTCAGATATAATGCTATGAAAAAAGTGTGGTGGACATGTTCTAAGGTGATCCCCACGATTCCTGCTTCCTAGTATTCATGTCTTTGTGTAATTCCTTCCCCCTGGTGCAATAGAAACTGTGACTTGCTTCTAACCAAGAGCAAAGGTGATGGGATGCCACTTCTGTTACTAAGATATCTTGCTAAGAGATACTCTTCCTTGCTGGTTTTGATGAAATAAGAGGCTATCATGTGAGCTACCCTACGGGAGGACAGTCTGGTTGACAGGCAGTAAGGAAATGAATGTTGTTAACAACCATGTGAGCCCAGAAGCAGATTCATTCCTTGCCAAGCCTTTAGATGAGAACCTAGCCCTGGATGACACCTTGACTCCAGGCTTATGAAGGACTCAGCTAAGCTGTGTGTAGACTCCTGAGACACAGAAATTATAAGATGACAAATTTGTGTTGATTTAAGCTAATAAATGTGTGTAAATATTGTTAGGAATAGATAACATACAAAAAGCCCATCAAGAGAACAGCCTCAGCTTATAACGGTTTGACTTGATGGGTATATTTATTGGATGTAAGTTGAGCCATTTGTAACTAATTTTCCAACAGCACATCATTTACTGCTATTTCTAGAACTAAAATTAAGTAACTAATATGATAAAAACAATATATTCGTAAATGTCACACAACTTGCATAATTAATGACAACTTCTATTAAACCTGTCTGATGGTCCATATCTCCACAAATGGATGAAGATCTTTTATTTGCCATCACTTTACTTTTGGTACTTTTAACTTCCCTATGTAGCAGACTATCAGAAAGCAAATTCAATATAAAATATCTCAAAGCCAATTTCACTATTAAAGAATTAAACATTTTTAAGAAATGTCTATTTTTCCATAATTTACTTCTCAGAGAATGGTCTTTCATATATTCACATTTATTTATTTTGAAATATTTCTAAGGTCTAAAGCAGACTTTTTCTGGTAGTGTTCACTAGATCTAGTTTCCATGGTACATTGCTACTGAAATTGTAAATATACTATTCTGAAAGGTCACACATAAACTGAGGTATATACTTACATATATAACTGCCTTGGTAAATGAATAATCTACTTCATGAGAAAATGGTTAAAAAGCTGGAAAATTATAATGAAAACTTAATACAGGTAAACTTTATGCTCTAATTTTCTCTTACTTCTGGAATAAAAATAGTCTTTCAGTGATGAGAAACATAGCAGTGCCCTAGGATCCTAACCACTGACCTTAAATTCCCATATTTAGCTTGTGTTTTATAACTGTTTTTCCATTTCTGAAGGCAGATTCATTTATAGTATAAGTCATATTGACTTGGGAACAGAGGAGAATGAAGAGCCTAGCAAATGGGACTCCTAATCTGCTAATTTAATCTAAATATTAAAATTGATAATATACAGTGTTGTGAAGTGTGAGATGAGAGTTATCTGGTATTTCAAGAGCCACACGAAAGTTAATGATTAACTGAAAACAGGAACAAAATTATTAAATAGTATGATTTCAGAAAGTTAATTTATTATATTTTATAGTCTCACCATGTTGAGTATGTCAAATAAAATTTGGAATACTATATTCAGTTCTGGATACAATTAAAGAGACACTGTCAGTCTAGGAGGCCCATCAAAAAACAGTGAGGAGAATAAGGAGTGTGAAAACAAAATTTCACAAAATCCAAGGAAAGAAATAGTGTCTATTTAGAGAAGATCTGAGGTGATGAAATAGCTATTTTCAAATATTTTAAGTGTGTATTGTATTTTAAGTGTGGATTATTTTATATTATATCAGAGTATGAAACTAGGAAGAATAAATATGTTACAGGTAAATGGATTAAATATCAATAAGGTGCTTTGATCATGTAACTACCAAGGTATATTTCACTTCCAAGATTCTTTGATCAATTCTGAAAAGTAAGGCAAACAGGATTATATATTTCAATGAGAATTCTCATCACTTGAAGCATGAAAAAAATTACAATTAGTTAGTTAGCTTTCTTTCAATAAAAAAATCACAATTAGTTTGTTAGCTTTCTTTTTAATGATGATAAAATCTGTGATATATACCATATCTGTGATATCCATATACGTGTACATACATAAACATATACATTCAATGGACTTATTAGCATTTCCATTTTTCAAATTAATAACTATAATAATCTCACCCTAAATACTGAGATTCTTCAAATAATTAATTGACTCTAAAATGGGATACAACACACTATGAAGATTTTTTTTTTTTTTTTTTTTTTTGGTACTGGGGATTGAACTCCAGGACACTTGGGTACTGAGCCACATCCCCAGCTCTATCTATTTTTTATTTTATTATATTTTATTGATTTTATTATTATTTTTAAAATACAAGAAAGCAGTGGAATGCATTACAATTCTTATTACACATATAGAACATAATTTTTCGTATTTCTGTATATAAAGTATGTTCATGGCAATTTTGGCCTTTATACATGTACTTTGTTTTTTGCATTACAATTCTTAATTCACATATATACCACAGTTTTTCATATCTCTGTTTGCATATAAAGTATCTTGACACCCAATTCAAGTCTTCATATGTACTTTGTATAATGATGACCATCACATTCCACTATCCTTGCTAATCCCCTGCCCCCTTCTTTTCCCTCCCACCCCTCTTCCCTATCTAGATCTAATCTAATCCTCCCAAGCTCTCCCTCCCTATGCCACTGTGAGTCAACCTCCTTATATCAGAGAAAACATTAGGCTTTTTTTTTTTTTTTGCAATTGGCTAACTTAGCATTATCTTCTCTAACGCCATCCATTTACCTGCAAATGCCATAATTTTGTTCTTTTTTAATGCTGAGTAAAATTCCATTGTGTATATATGCCACATTTTTTTTTTATCCCCAGCCCTATTTTATATTTTATTTAGGGACAGGGTCTCACTGAGTTGCTTAGCATCTCGATGTTGCTGAGGTTGGCTTTGAACTCATGATTCTCCTGCCTCAACCTCTTGAGCCACTGGGATTACAGGTGTGTATTACCGTACATGGCAACTGGGAAGATTTTTAAGTTATAAGTTCTACATTTTCAGATATACTTGCCTAGTTCATTTCAAGTTCAGATCAACACTAACTTTAAATTAGAATTTAAGGCACTTTCTCTGTAATTCACCTTAACTTCTATAGAATTAATACTTTAAATATTTAATTTCAGAATGAGAAAAACCATAAAAACCATGACACACAACAGAAAACTGATGAGGTAGAACAAAGCATGTATTTTATACTAACCAATCAGAAGAACGGTTCCAACAGCTAAACCTCCACCTGGAAATGAAATAAACCACGAAGAAAATTAATCTACTGTTTGCATTATCTTTAGCATAAAAGTTAGGCTTTTATATATAGGACAGGTACTTCAATAACTTTAAAACTGCAGTTGTGAACAATATTTTTAATTACCTTTGCAATAGTTTGCTAAAGGTACTATTATGAAATAATTACATATTACATGTAATTATATACCACACATTACAATTATTTTCATAAAATACTGTACTAGACTCCTTTCTCTTGCAATAGAACCATGCAGCTTTCGACATAACTCTGGTTAAGCACTCCAAAAATGTTATATTTAGCAGTTGATATTAAATAAACTCAATAGCAAAGACCCAAATGTGCACAGTAATGTTAACTACTACAGAAGTACAATATAGAAAAGAAAGGCTATTACAATGGAAATTTGAATTTAATATTTATCCTCAAATTTAGTAAGGCTTGAAGAAAATTGATAATTAAAACTAATTACTAAAAAATATGAACAACATATACACACTCTTGACATGCTTTAAATATATTTAGAATTTAAAATTAACAGTATTTTTACCATTTCAAACAGAAAATGACAAATCGCAAAATACATTTCAATATTACCAGAACGTTTTTTTACATATCAAATCAAGAATACACAACTCAAATAGTAAATAATTTAAAATCATTTTAAGTTTTGGAAAACTAAAAGTATACCAAAAATTTGAGACAGTTCAATACTTTGTTCTTTGATTTGTAAAAGTATTAGTATTTATGATTAATATCTCAGATGTGATCAAATTAACTTTAAAATTAAAAATATGTTAAAGAAAGAAGAGAAATATATTTAAAGTAAAATTTAAAAAGAAATTTTTCAAAATTGTTGGGCAAGAGAAGACAATATTATTAGTTTTGTGTGTATATGTATGTGCACAAAACTATGAAAGAAACATTTAGAACACCAATAAAACACTTTCCCTGAAAAAATTCTGTAGTGGAAGACATCATGTAGAAAAACTTAACTTGACATCTGGTAACATAGGTATACCCAAAATAAAATGAAATGTGGTTTATGCAGACTGAATTACACTTGAAATAAATTTTAAAACAATATATAGAACATTTCACATTGTGAGAGAAGAAAAATTTAAAAATTAGGACATTTACATATTTTAGGTTTAAGTGGATTTATTATAGAACTGAGTATATATTTTAATTTCACATCTAGGCACATTTCTTTATTATACCTTTAAAAGCTACACCAGACTAAGGAACTGTTCAGATGAAAATATTCACCTGAAATGCATGTGATGATAGCATTCATAAAGTATCAGAACAAAAGGGTTTGCTTTTACAAAAGATTGGACTGAATGTTTAATTTCAGAGTTTGTGGCACATAGAGATCACTACTAACATTTTAAACATTTTACATTATTTTTCAATTGCTTACTTTCCTACCTTTTATTTAGAAAAATAAACATTTAATTTCCCTAAAGCCATTTTGTATAAGTTTAAGAAGATAAAATAAACAACAGAAATTGCAGTATCTAGGCTAGGGTAGGTAATATTTAAAAAGTTCGCTGCCTTTCTTAATCTATTTCCTTAACCTATTTAGTTTTTTTATATAACCTCCACTGAAACAGGACTTTTGAACATTCAAGGTGGGATGATAAGTTTCCTAATTAAATGAGGTAACACAAAGGACAGGTGTGTCTCCCAGAGAGGTATTCAATACAAGCCACCCTTGCCATTCTGGTAATTAATTTCAGATTAAAGATATCACTAAAATTCATTGTTATTTGATATATGGTGATCTCTATAATAGTAATAATTACTAAGAATATGTCTCAATAATGAACTGGTTAAGTATAGCATTATACAAACCTGACTAAACTAGGAAAATTATTTTCTGTAAAAAAACAATCCAAATGATCCTCTGTTCCTGATTTTTCAGGAAAACACCACTAAAAAATCTCATGGTCATAAAAATTGTTGTTTAGAAAAATTGAACATTACTTAAGATAACATAAAAATGGGACCTATCAAATGACTTTTTATCAGCCAAAATAATATCTTATCAGGACTTCCCTTATAAAAAGGCAAGTTTTCTTTTTTCCAAATGAGTTCTATTATGTATATTCATTCACTTGATTCAAATTTAAATTGGGTCTAATAAGAGTAGGTCATTTTGAAAGCTGGTCATTGGGAAAGTTGCAACTTATTAATGAATTTAAAGCTTTGAAGATCAAGCTTATGGTTTTTAAAATAGAAAAAAAGATCTTGTGCTTTTGTTCTAACTCTAATGGGTAGAAGTTAATGATTTCAGTACTATTTTAAAGGGAGAAAATTAAATTCCACATACCAACCCAAACAAATTTGTAATTAAACTATAAATTTGGATAAATGAGGTCAAATTAATACACTAGAGTATGGACCAGAGTAATATTTCAAAGTCAGAAGTGATAATACTTTATACCAGTATTTTCCACCATATAAAGAAATAATTTTGCTTAAAAGTATAGAAGGACGATTTGGGGAAAATGCAATTTAAAAATTAGTTCGTATCTTTTCCTTAGTCCACAGTAATATCCTTAGGTACTTAAATCCATGCCACATCTCAAATTAAGTTGAAGTTATTTTGTTAGCATGTCTACCTTTTCTTTCCTAAGAGTTATGAAACACCCTGATGACAGGTGATGACACAGTTATTGTCTGAGCAATATGGGAATCAAAATAAAGCTATTAACAGTGTTAATATTCTGTAGATTAAATCACATGAAACAGTTTTACCTAGTAATACAAAGGAATAGCTGTCTATATCAATTTCTAAAACATTACAACCAGGATTATGCTAAATATATAGTCTACACTCAAGGTATATTATTCCACACTACGATTAAGATATAGTAAAGGAAAGACCACTTTTCGAAATTGGTGCTGAAAATAGAAACTGTCATAACAGGCTTTTTACAAAGAACTCTCCTTGGATTATTATTTACCTCGAATCCCTACCTGCCATTTTCTTGACTGTCAATTTAATAAATTTGAATAAAAGAGTGGTAAGCTAGCCAAACCCACAATCACCATTCCTCAAGCATCTTCCGGGTTAGACATACTTTATTTGCTATAATCTTTCATTGGAAATTCTTAGAAGAGAAATGGAGCTCTATCTAACCCAGACCGTTTATTTTCTGAAATATATGTGTGCTATTTATATAGTGTCCTTAAATAACAACATAAATGTCCTGAAAGGGAGAGGTTGAGAAATTGGATTAAGAAGTCTAAGAACTTAAAAATTTTAAGTGTTATCAACTTGAGAAACAAACCCAAATTTGACAATAAAGTTGTCAGAACAAAAACAATATGATGACTAACAAACATTCAATTAGCCTGTGTGATGCCTTTCAAGTGTATCATGCATCTATATTTAAAATTACAATGATGTCATAGGGGCTGTAGTAAAATGTCCTTTTACTACATGGTTGTTCTAAGATAGTATTTACTTGTTACACAGTAGCTACACAATATATTTAGGCAGCAATCACAATGTCACAGTACAGTCTCATCTTTCTGATAACATCCAACTACCATTACATTTTATTACAATATGGCCATTAAATTAGTTTTGTCATAATCTGAGTAAAATATTATATTAGAATAAAAATAGAGTTTAAATTGCTTATACTTGTGTGTATACATATTAGTAGCCAAATATCTCACTTTCCAAATCATATAAAATAAATCTGAAGTGTTTGCTCTCAGGACCACACAAAACAGAAAATCAAAATACAAAAATGTCATTAATAAACTAACAACAACAGAAATACTTCTAGAGAAATTATTATTACAAATGTAGTATTCTTATTATCCCAACTGTTCAACTTCTGTGCATTTTGAGAATGAATTGCATCAATGTAAAATATATTTGAAAATATCCAAAAACTTATACAGTTTCAATCATCCTAATGAACATGAATTTTTGCATAAGCTTGTATTTTAGCATAAGCTTGAATCCTAGAGTTCTCCACACCCCAAACAAATCTGGAATTTTTAAAAATTACTGTTCAAGTTTATATTTTTGTAGAAACACATGTGGAAGGTGCTTTGAGTTCTCTTTTTTGGTGGGTGCTTGAAGACTATAATTAAATCACTTTTAGATTCAATGAATGGTCAAAATTCCTTGAAAACAAGGCCTCAAAAATATGAGATAGCTATTAATTCAGAACACTACATTTGAACCCTATAGATCAGCTCACATTGTCACAAGTTATGTGACTGTTTATATTACTCCTAAATTTGCTTTTAGAAGTAACACCTAACTCCATCCTATGTGTTTCACAATCTCTTGTATGTTTTTTCCTGACAAATTATTTTTCTTTTAACAAAAAATTTATGAAGAAACTACTAAGTTCCAGGAAATTTGCTAGGTACATTTTGTTACTTTAATGAGGAATTGAAGGCATGATGCCACATTTGTGGCCTTTTTATTTGGAGAGTAATAGTCATCAAGTGAATGAAACTGCAAATTTCCATTGAATTAAAAATATACATATAAAATCATTAGAAATAGCTTTGAAGCTTTAAGTTCAAATATAGAAGGCCACCAAGTGAGGCTCACAGGGAGACAATGTGAAATGAATAGTTGCTAACTATATATTTTGAATTATTTCTTTTTTGAGTACCATTGAAACTCAAGAGGACAATAGGCTTGAAACAATTAAGTGAAAATACTTAAATTTATAAAGAAATACTTGGGATCCAGTTAGGACTCAAAATAACAGAATCGAGAATCCATACTCTTTTTCATAAGTTGCTTCTTTTGTTACTTACTTCTGCACTAAATGTTTGAAAAGCTTACCTTGCAGGGTGCAGGGGAGGGGCGGATTATGGAAAATGTCAAGTAGCAAGACACGCAAATGCAGGGGCAATATATTACAATACTGCACCAGATATAACAGACACATACAATGAAAGCAGTAATGAAATATAAACAGACCAATTTTAACAAGGCAGCATTCATACAGAAATTAATCAATAAACTTTATTAACACAGCATATCCGTCCTACCAGGCTAATGTGGTCAACACTTTCAACATAACACTTATTAAACAAGCATACTCTTCAGTAGGCTTTTCATGAAAACTTCCATAAATTATAAAGGAAAGTCTAGGAAACTGGACTTCTTCCCGTTAAGATGTGCATTAAATAAAAACCTACCCATTGGTATGTAGCAGCAACCAACTCTGGGAAGCAAAATGTATATAGAAAAAAAGTTTTAAAAATGCACATATTTAATGCAAATAGGAATTGAACCATCAAATTACAAAAGATGGCTTTAACTACTGAGTCAACATACATCTTTCATATACAGTCTTTTTAAAACCAATCTGATTTAAGATTTAAGGAAATAAGCAGCCTGGTGGTGACTGAGTGGGAAATACATTTTTTCAGCATTTTTTGATTAAAGCTCTTCTCTCAGAAGGATAAAAACTTTGTACTTCAGTGCGAGCAGTGAGCTACTTGAGGTTGGCCGAGAGAGGGGTGTACTCAGACACCAGGAGGGAGTCCTAGCTGAAAGCCTAACCATTTTCCATATAGTAAAGCTTCTCTTTCACTAGGAAGCCTGTAGGGATCCCATCTTAATCTGCGAATGGGCTAATAGACAGAAGGCAAGAAGAGAGTAGAGGCACTTAGAAATCTTGCATCCCTTCCTCCCCTCCCTCAAGCCAGGCTCTCCTTTCCACGTCTCTAAGGGGGAACACTTGAGGGCGGGGACCAAGGTGGCTCTCCCGACAGGCCCCCTCCCTAAGTTTTCCCTCCGGTGAGCCCGCATCCGTTCTGAACCGACCTAAGAGCTGGTCCAGGGCGGGGAGCCCGGTTGATACCAGCAGTTGTCCATTCCGCAACGACGGTCGCGTGCCCGCAATAGACACCAATCGAGGGCCGCTGCTCTCAGTCCCACCGGCTTTAGGACCCCTCCTCTGGAAACTGGTGATGTTGCTCTTTCGGGCTGCCTCTGCCACAGACTTGGTACTCGCCGCGCCCGAGCCGCAGGTTGCCTCTGCCGCCATCTTGGAGGCTCGTGCGCTGACCCAATAGGAGCCCTGGGAACTCAGGCAGCCGGCCTGTCAGAGTCAGCGCCTAACTCCCGCCTCTTCGCTCCGACCGTCGCTCCTGTAGCCAATAAAACTGAGAGGTCCCTCACGAGCCAACCAATCGCAAGGCGTTTTGCTGAAAAGTGCGCAGACGTAAGGACAGAGGACTTCTGTCGGACCCAGGTGAGAAAGGCCCACCTGAGTCTTGGGTCTTGGTTCTCCCGAGGGTCTCCCCGGGTTCTTTGGGGCCAGAGGTGGGTAATGTCATTCACCTTTCTTCTGGTATTCCTTGCTTTCATTCACGTTGAGTTAAAGAAAAGATTGGTGAAGCAAGAAGCCCTAAGGATTTAATCAAGCCACTGATGAAGCTGGAGTTTACGTCTATCTTTCTCGATAGTAAAAAGGGGAGATATTTTCCCCCGACCCTCTCTCTTCTGATTTCTAAAAGAAGATCCGTTCCGTTCCTCATGAGGCCTTTTTCTTAATGATTGTCTTATCTCGAAAGGACTGTAACTGTTAACGAGTTGCTTACTGACCGGCTGGGGTTAGTTCTTTAGTACTTAGTAATAGCTGGGTTGGATGTTTGACTTTAGAGTGAAAAACTCTTGAACTTTGAGACGATTTTGTTTTCCTCTGTCTGATAAAATATACATCTTTGAGAAGTGCCCGCGAGAAGCTTATGTTATTTTTAATTAGTGCTTCTGGAAATCTTGGAGCGTCTTTCTATAAGCGGTGTGAATGACAAGTGTTACTCTGACAACCTTGTTCACACATTTAATTGTGGTTTGCTGTTATAAAGCAGCTGCAAATAATAGAAAATACTTCAGTTCTCTTAAAAAAAACCTGATATTAGATGTGTAGTTCTAGTAATTTGTGATCTCTAGTAATTTGTGAATCTTTCTTATTACAGTGTAAATTTTATATGTAAAAAACCATGTAATTTAGAGCTGTGTTTTGGATTTAATTTTTTTTAAATTTTCAAATCAGATATGGGGGTTGGGAGTGGGTGTTTTTAAAAGGCATTCATGATTGACAGATGGCCAAACTTTAAAAAGAACTCCAAAATCACACCTGTACCACTGGTTACTCTTAACTTTGACCAATGATCTATGATAACTCTTATGTGTTTTCTTTTACTTTGTTTTGAGGGTCAAGGATCTCTAACAAGTTGTCCAGGCTGACCTCCAGCTCTTGGGCTTAAGTGATTCTCCTGCCCTCAGCCTCCTAAGTAGATAGGACTTCAGGCTCTTACCACTTCATCTGACCAATGGTACCTTTTAAATACATCCAAACTTCACCGAAATACTTGCCTTTGAATTGTTTACATCTGGATGACCTGTTGAAACTTTTTTGCTCATTTTATTTGATAAATTGAATTTAGTATTGCTAAATAGGGACTGAAGTTTTTCATTTGCAGGATTTTTTTTTGTCTTTTTTCTTTTTTTAAATAACCAGATTTTAGGGAAAAAAAAAAAAACCTCCTGGTGTTTAACATTATATTAAATCAGAAAGCTTTGATCACAGTTGCTTTTATTTCAAAACTTTCACCAGTACAGATCTTTAGTCTAAATTTCTCAGTCACTGAATGATTACTGTCTGCTTAAACCTAATCTTGTCATTCCAGACTATAGTGATAAGAATGGTCTCATTTTGGGATGGGTTGGGGATAAGATTGAAGCATAGAAACAGCATCGCTCTTAAAAAGAACATATTAAGGGGCTGGGGATGTGGCTCAAGTGGTAGCGCGCTGGCCTGGCATGCCTGCGGCCCGGGTTCGATCCTCAGCACCACATACAAAACAAAGATGTTGTATCCGCCGATAACTAAAAAATAAATATTAAAATTCTCAAAAAAAAAAAAAGAACATATTAAGTAGTTTGTGCTAATTTTGTGCTGTAGTATATAAGGAATAGGGAAACCGAAAGAAAAGTGACAAAGCATTCCACTATCAAATAAAAACTTGAGTATTTTTGATAATCTGAAAACTTGGAAATACTACAGATAATTTTATAGGCTTCTTTACTATAAAGTCTTTTGATTCCTATTGTATTTTCTTTTGGGGGGGGGGGAACTCAGTGGCGCTTGACTACTGATCCACATCCCCAGTTCTGTTTTATATTTTATTTAGAGACAGGTTCTCACTGAGTTGATTAGCACTTCGCTTTTTGGTGAGGCTGGCATTGAACTCTCAATCCTCCTGCCTCGGCCTCCTGAGCCACTGGGATTACAGGAATGTGCCCCCAGACCAGCTCCAGTAGTATTTTCTTAATCTTCTAGTTGTCTTAAGGTAACAAGTGGTATTTTGTTTGTCTCATTACTAGCATGGAAGAATTATTTTCAAACTTTGACTATAATTTGGGAAGCATGTCATACATACATATCAAGACAGTCAAGAAATTAAGACATATATGTGGTATAACAGTATTATAGAAAAATTTTGATTTAATCTGTCTTCTTTTTAAAACCAACAAAAACTTCACTTCCAAATAATCTCATGTACTTGAATTTGTCATAGATGTTAAAATTTAATATAAAGCATTGGAATAAATAGAGAAGAGTTAAAAAGGTATGCCATTAATCAAACAATTATTTATTCAGTACATACTGAATTTGAGGGCATGTGCTAAGGGCTTAGGTTACAGGAAAAAATAATTTAGTCTCTGCTCTATTTGAGTTTACATTTGGGGGAGATAGATGGGTAAATAGTAAGTGCTATGAAGAACAGATTGGGCTGTCTAACTCAACCTGACAGAAGGGAGCTTTGGTAAATTTCTCATGAGGAGGAAGCTTAGTCTGAGTTTTGAAGGGTATAAAGAAGACATAAGCATTAAAGAGAATGGGAGCCATTACTGAGAATTGGATGAATGTTTCTTCATTAAGTCTGTTTTCATACTACTGTGGGATTATTACTCATGGTCTATATAGGTGTTCTGAGGACTTTGGAGAAGTTAGGCAAAGTTCTGATGGAATTTTTTTTTTTAATTGTGGATTTATTTTTCCTTAAAGAATAATAGGGACTGGGAATCATTTAAAAAAATATAAAACAAAAATGACATCATCATTCTCTTTGATCATTATGGCATGACTAAATGTGTGTTTTAAAAATGAGTGTCTACAAGTGTGATTGGGATTTAGAGAACAGGATGGATGAAGCGATTACTCCAGAGGGTAGAGTTGACATGAATAGGGAAAGTTGAGGGGAGGAATCAAAGGTAACCCATATGTTTTGCCTAGTGCAGCTTTGTGAGTTATGGAAGACAGAAAAAAGGAGGAGGAGCAAAATTTTGTAGTTGTGATGTTGGTTGTTTTAGGTGAAAAGATCATAAATTGGGTTTTTAATTGGGTTTTTAACATGTTTATTTTAGGTACCAATGGAGTATCCAAATGTGGATGTCTAGTATTTAGTAGATTATGTGTTTATCATTTAGATAAATGATAGAGATTTGAAATTATTAAGTACATAGTGATGATTTATCACAAGGCATAAGATACCAAGAAAATATGTGTGTGTATGTGTGTGTGTGTGTGTGTGTATGTATGTATTTGGTTGTGAAAATGAATCACAAACTTTGAGGAATATCAATATTTAAAAGATGGATAGAGAAAAAGTAAAATAAGGATTGGAAAGTTCATTTGATTTAATATTGTGGTTTATTTTATGAGTATTAAAGGCTGATTTTTCTGGAATAGCAAACTTAAAAGTCAAATAATTGTATTGAGAAGTGAATGGAAAGTGATGTTTAATATAGCATAATAATAGATTATTTTAGGCCAGGCTTGGTGGTGTATGCCTGTAATCCCAGTGGCATGGGATCATGGGTTCAAAGCCAGCCTCAGCAATGGCAAGACACTAAGCAACTCGGTGAGACCTGTCTCTAAATAAAATACTGAATAGGCCTGGAGATATGGCTCAGTGGTCAAGTGAGTGCCCTTGAGTTCAATCTCTGGTACCCCCCACACCCCTCCCCCCCAAAAAAAACCCCAATAGATTATTTTACATTTGAGAAAGCTTTGCTGTGAAGTAGAACAGAGGAAGATGGTAAAGGTTTGGGGAAAGGGTTTTTTTTAATTCTTTTTATTCTAATTTGTTATATATGATAGCAGAATGCATTACAATTCATATTATACATATAGAGCACAACTTTTCATATCTCTGGTTGTATACAAAGTATATTCACACCATTCGTGTCTTGATACATGTACTTTGAATAATGATGTCCATCTCATTTCACCATCATTTCTAACCCCATGTCCTCTTCCTTTCTTTCCCTCCCCTTTGCCCCATCTAGAGTTCCTCTATTCCTCTCATACTCCCCCTCCCTCCCCACTATGAAGCAGCCTCCTTATATCAGATAAAACATTTGGCATTTGGTTTTTTGAGATTGGCTTTGCTTAGCATTGTCTTCTCCAACTCTATCCATTTACCTAAAAATGCCAGTGTTTTTAATCACTTTTTTTTGCTGAGTAATATTCCATTGTGCATATATACCACAATTTTTTTTATCCATACATCTACTGAAGGGCGTCTAAGTTGCTTCCACAATTTAGCTATTGTGAATTGTGCTGCAGTAAACATTGATGTGGCTGTGCCCCTGAGGTATGCTGTTCAACAACTATATGAAAAAGTGTTCATCATCTCTAGCAAGTAGAGAAATGCAAATCCAAAGTGCTCTAAGATTTCATCTCACTCCAGTCAGAATGGCAGCTATTAAGAATACAAACAACAATAAGAGTTGGCAAGGATGTAGGGAAAAAGGCACACTCATATGTTGCTGGTGGGACTGCAAATTGGTACAGCCAATATGGAAAGCAGTATGGAGATTCCTTGGAAAACTGGGAATGGAACCACCATTTGACCCAGCTATCCCTCTCATTGGTCTGTATCCAAAGGGGAAAGGTTTTGTTGATGTGTGTAAGAAAGTGATAGAGAGGAAATAGAGTATGTAATGGTACTGGAAAGAGATTCTATAAAATTGATAAAGGACCTGAATGAGATAGAAGGAATGGAATTGAATCATGAGAGATATCACTGTTTGAAAAGAGGAGGCACAAAGGTATAAATGAAAATAAGATTTTTTCCTCTTCATTTCTGCTATAAAATCTTGAGTCCCTTAAGATCATTTTCTCTTTTCATTGTATATTCTATTTCATTTAACCCCAATTTCAATCACCATTTATATGTTAATGAAAAATATATTTGTAATGCATTTCAATTCTCTGACCTACAGAATCAAAACTTTCAGGCTGGGGTTGT